CCATGAACAACATGTAATATTTTAAATTTACATGAACAGTATCAAGATGTACTTTTCCATGCAATCCATGCTTACGCTGATTCGTGTACTTTGGGTTTTAGAAGTTCTCTTTGGCTCGGAATGAAATATTCTGTCTTGTCTTTTATTTAAGTACAGTTAGGAAAAGTGGCTCTAATAATGCCCAAAGTGGAGTAAAGTCTCCTCCGCCTTACTGCGGATCCCTGCAGGCTGTGTGCTGTGGTGTTTTCTGACATGAGCTCATTAGGAGGGAATTCCCTGTGAGGGGTGGGATTGTGTGCTCCCCAGGAAGGGTTTGTTCAGCCTCTGCTGGGTCCCCAGGTCAGGCCCCGTTAGGGGCTGTGCTACGTGGCTGGGGGCTGATGAGCCCCACACCTGGTGTGCTCTCAACCTCCAGGCTCAAGCGTGACTGGGGCCTTGGGTTCTTCTCCTGGCGTGGTCCATGATCACAGAGGGGGACCCCTCCATCCACTAGGGACAGATGGTAGTATGTGTTAGAAAAGAAAAAGAGCAGAAAGGCAAACCTCAACACACAGGTTTCATTCGGGAGGAAAGCCTGGGATGACAGCCCAGTCTCCTTCAGCCCCAGCAGAGGCAACGGCGCACCCGCCTGGCAAAGAGGACCCTTCGCTGTGAGGCAGGAAAAGGGACAGGCAGCGGATGGAAACATGAGGTGGAGGCGGGTGGAGCGATCTGATTTTGACTGAGGAGTTTCAAGGCGTCAATAGCATCTGTGTCCGCTAGGGGCCTCAGCGCCAGACGCGGCCTTGGTCTGAGGCTCCCTTCCAAGACCTGCAGGGTGCGTTTGTTCAGGGGGAGCGGAGGGGACAGGGATGACTGGGCGCGGTCAGCAGCCCAGCGAGAGGTGAGTGCGTTTTCCAACAGTATGCGCGTAATGGAATTCCTAACCTGAGGCTCCTTCACAGAACCCAGCTGCCAGGGCATTTGGCTTCTGCTCAAAGCTCCTTACTTGATCTCTGTACCCCCAGCATCAGAGGGGCTCAACGCTTGGCTTTTCTTGACTCCACAGTTGCCACCAGATCCTCTCATTTCTTTTTTCTTTTTTTTTTTTTCTGTGCTAGTACTGCAACTTGAACTCAGAGTCTTAGTACTCTCATTGGGCAATACCACTTGAGCTACATCTCCACTTCTGGGTTTTTTAGTGATTAATGAGAGATGAGAGTCTCACAGATTTTGCTGCCTGGGCTAGCTTTGAACCATAGTCTTCAGATCTCAGCCACCCACATAGCCTGGCTTACAAGTGGAGCCACCAGCACCTGGCTAAAATTTGGGAAGTACCTTGGCCAGAATGCTTTCAGATTCCGTGCACACCTTCCTTTCCACTTAGATTGGGTCTAAGAGCCTCTTACTTACCTACTTGTTATAAGCTATTTGATGCTTTAAAACCATTAAAAGTATTTTCATCCATCCACGGTGGCTCTCACAAATAGCCCACCCTGTGACTAGCTGCAGAAGACTCACACTTAGCTCCTGTTCCTTTCCCAGTGCCTCCATGTCAATGGTTTATAACATCTCTTTAGTTCTATAAATGGAATTCTATTTTTTGTGTGTATTTACTGGTCCTGGGACTTGGTCTCAGGGTCTGGACACTGTCCCTAAGCTTTTTATTTTTGCTCAAGGATAGCACTACCACTGCAGCCACAGCTCTACTTGTGTCTTTTTTTTTTTTTGTTTGTGGTTCGTTGGAAATAGGAATTTCATGGACTTTCCTTCCTGGGATGGCTTCGAAGTGCAGTCCTCAGATCTCAGCCTCCTGAGTTGCCAGAATTGTAGGCATGAGCCACTGGTGCCTGGCAGAATTCTAAATCTTTGAGACAGAGACTTTGGTGTTTTCCTGCCTAGCCCTTCCCCCGCCCCAAGTGGAGCTGTGTGTGCCACTGCCGGCGTTTTCTCGTGATGACTCCATCCTTCCTGCGGTGATCTCTCTGGAGAACGTGATGTGTTTGTTCCTGCTTGTCATGTGGAAGCTGATAGCAGTTGTGAATTCCTTATGATGATGTCAAGTAGAAGAGTTATAGTTAAAGTCAGGCTTGTTTTCAAATGTTTAAAACACCTGAACGAGGTGGCTGGTGATGGAATATGGTCTGAGGTGCTGTTGGCCAGCGTACTTTTGATTTTCCTACAGATCTAGAAGAGGTTAGAAAGGAAATGGAATGAGGTTCGAATTCATTTCCTTGTTTAAAATGAAAATAGATCTGAGGAAAGATTAATCAGATGGGAGCCTCCTGGAGATGATCTGGGCCAGGCTGGACTTGATGGGGAATGCCAGGATTCACTTCTGCAGGTCAGCAAGGGGATCCCAACCCTCCCACACACACCGAAGCACGCCACAGGGGCTTCTGGCCCACTGTCCAGTGGGTTCCACATATCCACACCTCATGTTGGAAAAGAGCAGACATCTTCCGGGACCGAGCCCTTGTCCCATGGCCATTTGGTTCCCATTAGGGTACAGAAAGCCAGCATCTTACCTGGGCACCATATTGGAATGAAGCCATTTCCAGGTTTCCTTCCAAACTGCGTCCTGACTTGTGAGAACAAGGGACCATGTGCTGTCCTTGGTGCTAACGCCAGAAGTCCAGTCAGCCCCTCAACTACGTGGACTTTTACCACTCTTACCTCTTATGCTCTGCACTAGGGAATACTTCTGAGAGAATGGGATGAAGGAAGAGGACTATCAGCATAAATCAGGCCTAGTCTAGACCAGCCAGAATGAATAGCCATCCTAATTATCAGTTTCCATGATAAATCCAAATATACTGTGATAGGCTATAACATATACATCACTTTTTCTCTGGTATTACCATAAAAACCTGACATTATCTTTATTGCCAAGACTAGAGGCTCAGTCATACTTAGCAGCAAAATTAGTATCACTTAGTAATGAGTTATTTGATCCTGTCTTGCCGTTTTATGTGCAAGTACATTCATTTTTTACATCAGACACTGAAATCCTGTTCATCCTTTTTGTTCCATTATAGGAATTAGAGCTTGGCCTTGGCTGATCACTCTGAGTCTGTTAGTGGGGTGAGCTGCTCTCTAAAGGCAAATTCACCACAAGAGTTGTAGAGAGGCGGAAGAAGCTGACATCACTCCTTGGTGACTGTGTGCCAGGTGGATGCTAAGGGCGTTATTTGCCACACCTGCCCGTCAAGGCCCAAGTGAGGGACTGTTGTCTCCTCTCTGCCCACAAGGAACCTCACATGCTCATGGGCTACTGAATGCAAAGCCTGGCCAAGTGCACACAGCTCAGCCTCCTTAGGCAATTCTGTGGTCTTCGTTCCTAAGTTGTTTGTTCAAGTCCTTATCCAGCAGCCTGCTGATGCTGCCTTTCGTGAAATCTAATGTGGAAATGTCCCTTGTGTGTGACCCAGCCCCACCTTCCCACTGCTCGCACAGAGGCGGGTGAAGACCTCTGCGTGGCTCCTCTCCTCTGCACAGATTTGTTAGCTGGTGATTCCACCCTTTCGTTCTCTCCACTGAGCTCCAGTGGCTGACAAAAATGTGCTTTCAACGTCATAAGCACTGGGAGAAATTTAGCTGTGTTTTCAGCCTGTTTTTAGGCTTCTGGACACACAGAACACTGAGTCCTGCGACAGTGCCTACGTTCTGCTTTGGGTTTTTTTGTTTTTTTTTGCTTTGGGTTTTGATACTAGGGTCTCGCTGTGTGGTCCAAGCTGTTCATGAACTCCTGGGCACAAGAGATCCTCCTGCCTCAGCCTCTCCCAACCACACCTGGTGAGTTACGTCAGGCATTTACCAGGCCCTGCACCATTTCTCACAAGCCTTTGCACCCAGGCATTCTTCTGGCTTGGACGCCAAGAGCAGAATCTCAGCCAGAGGAGGGCTATGTCAGATACTAACGCACCACCTCTGTGGGAGCAAGGGTGGGACACCAGAAGAGATGGTTTGTGGGTTTGCTATTCTACTCTTTCTTCATCTGTTCTCTTGTTTCCATTTAGCCTTTTAAAAGTTGTAGAGCGGGCTGGGAAGGTGGCTCAGTGGTAGAGCGCGTGCCTTGCATGCATGAGGCCCTGGGTTCGATTCCTCAGCACCACATAAGCAAAAAGAAAAAAAAGCTGGAAGTGGCTCTGTGGCTCAAGTGGTAGAGCGCTAGCCTTGAGCTGAAGAGCTGAGGGACAGTTCAAGTCCCACGACCGGACCCCAAAAAAAAAAAAAGGTTGTAGAGTGCTGGGAAGGTGGCTCCGTGGTAGAGTGCTTGCCTTGCATGCATGAGGCCCTGGGTTCAATTCCTCAGCACCACATAAGCAGAAAAGGCCAGAAGTGGTGCTGTAGCTCAAGTGGTAGAGCGCTAGCCTTGGTCTGAAGAGCTGAGGGACAGGGCCCAGGCCCAGAGTTCAGGCCCCATGACCAGCAAAAAAAAATGAAGTTGTAGAAAGAAGTCCCTAGGAATGCTGAACCCATGGGGGCGAGGGAGGGGCAGGGGGGCGGGGAGTGACCACTAAGAGCAGAGGCCACAGGAAAAGGGGAAGGTAGCCACTAAGAGCTGAGCTGGTGAAGGATGGTCACTAGGAATGCTGGGCCAGGGGACAGGAGAAGGTGGCCTGTCCCATCATGCAGTGCACCTACAGTTGTGGAGAAGGGAAAGTAACGTGTGGTGCTTGAGAGATTTCCCAGGCTCCTCATGTCAGATCTTTGTGTTAACTGAGAGGTGCCTGAAGTCACAGGAGAATCCCCCTCCCCTGTGGAAATCCCAACAGAAGCTGTATCTGTCAGGTCCACTGGCCCCCAAGGCGTGCTCAGAGCTACACAATTCTACCAGCAAGTCTTTCCATGTTGGAAATTTGGAGGAAGAAAAGTTTGCCAAGGTTAACGGTCATGGCCCTGTTTCCTTGTACAGGGAAGGGGGTTCCATGCAGGAAGTGAAACCTTCTAGAACTTCTCAGGGAGCAGCGTCTGGTTCTGGAGCTGAGAGGACACTCACAGTTTCATGTTTATTCCAGGGACCCTGTAAGCCAAGCCCCCCTCAGAAGCCTCTGCCGGCCAATCCTTTGAGCAGAGCACCCCGGCTCACCAGCACCACCGCAGCCTCGGTAGCCAGGACCCCAGGCCAGCAGGAGCCTGGGCCCCGCCCAGCCCCCACCAGGTGAGTCTTCCGCTTTCCATCCCCATTGGGCAGCTGGGACAGGGGAGGGAGGGCTAGGCTGTGCTTCCGGCCTGCCCCCAACAGCAGCTGGTGAGAAATACATGTGAAAATGACCAGTCAGCCCAGCTCCTCCAGTCCCAGGGGCCGCACAGCCCTGGGCAGTGCGCAGGGAGTACGGAGGACAGGCTCTCGCTCCCAAGAGACACACTTGGCCCCGTCCAGGGATCCCAGTCTTGGACCTGTGAGGGCTGAGCAGAAAATGTCCGGCAAAATGAACTGAGGTGGGGGGCTGGGAGCTTCTTTGTACAACTGAGTCACCTGCTGGGGTGACCTGCCTGCTCCCCACAGCGCAGACTGATCCTCTTACACCAGAGGTTGTCCCCCTTCTGCGCAGGAGCTGGTACAGGGCCTTGTTGAGGTACAGCCAGTTTCCAGGGATTCCTGCCAGCTAGGTATCCAGCCCAGGATTAAACCATCTTACTATAAGTTGTACTAAGAACAAAGATAACGACCACTCAGCACACCACTTTCCCTTTGCTTTTACACCTCTTGGTGACACCCCAGTGGGGATACTTCCCACTGGGCAAAATGCTACAGACCAGGCTCTGCTTCTCTGGCGGTTTATTAAACTCAGAGAAGCACACAGTGGTGCTGAGCTCACAGCCAAACAGCCCTTCCACCTCCCGTGCCCCTGGCAGGATGCCCGCATTGTGAGCTCAGAGGAACCAAAGGTACCGACGATGAGCCAGCCCTGCACCAACTCCTATCTCTGAAGGGGAAGACACACTTTAGTGATTTCATTACAGCCCTTGGGAAGAACATTTGGCCTGTGAAAGAAATAGCTGCCTAATAAATCTCAGAGATAAAGCTGGTTCGAAGGGTGGGGCTGATGGTTTTAACCCTGGCTACAGGAATGCAGAAAGACTGCATCACCTCTTGCTTTATCTCATTGTGGTTTGTAGGTTGAACTTGAAGTTGCTTTTCTTATTCTGTTTCATTGGGGGGTGGGGAGCCCACTACAATGACATGAGGATGAAGGAAGTCTCCTTTTTTAAAATGGCCTTAAGTGATGGACTGTCTTACCACTGTTTGGTAACATCAGAAGCTGACTTGAATCAGCATTCCTTTCTGAGGGCCCCACCCCCACCCTGTGTGCTCTGCTTTTCTCTGGGTCTTAAGAGCAGTGCTGTATAATCCAGTAGCTCCTGGCATGTGGTGGCTGCAAGGGTAACACACTGTCTGTCAGTCCAGATCCTCTGGTTAAAGGAAAATGATGACTAAAGTTAATCTGATGAATTTCTCCCCCTTCCCCCAACCATGGCTACTAGAAAACTTCATTCTCTAAGTGACTCACACCATCTTCCTGTAGGGTGCTGTTCTGGAATGAGCTGGTGGATGGGAGGGGCTGCCTTGGAGAAGGCTTCCGTTTGGTCCTTCGTTGTAAGACACTGGGAAATCTGGGTGCTTGAGCCTGGTCCTTGTGATCAACAACTCCTTCCAGAAGGAATGATGGTCTCCAGCACTCTTAATGCTGAGATCTCAGAAGCCCACAAGAGTACAGGAAAAGACTGGCCCCACCCTGGACAGCCATGTTTATAGAAGTCACTCCCAACACCTCTGACCACCATTTTGTTTGCTTCTCCTTCAGACCTGCTCCCAAGTATCCACCCCAAGTGTCCAGAGGCACCCGCTTTGCCTATGTGAAGTGAGCAACAGGCCCACCGACACCTTTGTTCCACAGTGAAGACAGAAGTTTGCACTATCAACTCCAGTTGGGAGTGACATTTTTTTTGTACCAACTTTGAGGGGAGGGGGGGGAAATGTTTTTAATCTTTAAAACACCAATTATTTTCAAGAACTTTGAGCTACTGCGGCCAGTGCTGTGCTGTGCTGTGCTGTGGTGCTCTGTGTACTTGCTCAGGTACTTGTAAATTATTAATTTATGTGCAGGGCGTTCACGGCGCGGTCGCTGCGGTAGCCGCCGCCCGCCGCTGTTTCCCGTGGAAGGAGGGCTTGTCATGCGTTGAATGCCTTCACAGTGTTGCAGGCTCCCGCCTGGTGCGATTCTGGACACGATGTTTACTTTCTGATCAAGGCTCTAGTGGAAAGCAGCTTCCCAACCACCCGCAGTGCAGCTGTGGTGGTGGCATCAGACCCGGCTCCAGAGACCCCTGTAGACGCTGGAGTGGTTTTCCTGAAAGCCTTAGCTTGGGCCAGAGCTGAGAACCTGAAGGTCCAGGCTGGGTTTCACCTTCAGGGAGGCCTTGGGCCCCTGCACGCTGATGGCCCCACTTGGCCATGCAGAGACGATAGGGGAGGATCTGGCTTCTGGCCAGGGATCTCTGGAGAGAACCTGAGAGGCAGACAGGAATGTGGAGGTGTGTCCACACCAAGCCAGTCACCCAGGCAGACACTTGACCTTGAGCTGCCTGGCCATGAGTGTGTTTGAAGTGCAGACCACGAGGGGATCTCATTAGTGCTCAAGGTTTTTGCTTTATGGAAACAATACCTTCTTCTGGCTGCTCTTCACCAAGAGCTGGCAACAGACCCACTCTTTAGATGGGAAGGGTGATGTTTCTACACATGCCCCAGCACTTCAAACCTCCATCTCCCTGTACTGTGTGGAGCTAAGCAAATTAGTGCATTGTCTCCTCAGCTGCAAGACAATGACCCCATGTTCAGACAGATAGATGAGGCCTTCTGTGGGACCATGATGGTTTTCAGATATGAACTAGAAACCACTCAGTTCTGTAGATAAAATCTACAGAAGTAGGCAGCATCCTCAGCCAAATGGAAACTACAGCCAAATGTGCTCCTTGGTACAGCCCATGTCTGCTTCCCTTGTTAGTAGACACTGTACACCGAAGCCTGAGTTACCATGCAGTTCTGTCTGTTTTCTCAACCAGGTGACAGGAGTAAGATGTGCTTAGCATAGTCTGAACCTTAAAAATTTGCATCCAACCCCTTGAGATCATGCAATGTGATAAGGAATTCAATTTCCTAATCCTGTATTTTCATGAAGGACAAGCTTGGGCACACTGCCTCTTCCGCCTGTCACTCTCTCCGTATCTGCCTGGAGAGCTGGTTTCTTGAGATCTTTAAGGTGCCTGATCCACATGAATAATGAGGTCAAAATGCTATCCATCTTCTGGTGGGTCAGATCTGACCAGCTTCTGCATTAGAAGGCAAGAACTAACTGTTCCACAGCTTTATGATAAGACTTTCTTCAGGGTCATTTCAGTGGTTTTCCTATGCCTTGAGGCAGAAAGAAAAATACGTGCCAAGAATCTTGGCTTGCCTTCCAGAAAACACAACTGCCTTTAACTTTGCCCATGCTCTCCAGTGTATCGAAGGCAATGATGTTCGTGACTATGGATAATTGATCCGTGGCACAAATAGCACACAAAAAGGAACCTAGCTCTAATACATTCCAACTCCTTTAGCATGCATTTATTACATAGTTATTTCTTAAACTTGTAAAGCCATGTTAGATGCTAGTACTGCTGAGGCGATGCATACAGAATTGCTGCGACAGATGTTACATTTGGTAATTGTAGGAAGGCCAAGATACTTACTATGGAAAAGGTTTACAGAATTCAATGGTGCATTACGTGGGTACTGACTTTCTTAGATGCCCACCTCCTTAGATCTAAAATTTAGCCCCCTCTTCCTAGTGGAAGTAGAAGATGTGAACCAACTATTTTTGTTGTTGTTGTTCTCATTTGTTATATAGAACCAGGGAGGTTAAAACTGTGATCTTATGCCACGTCTTTGATGGCCACTTCGGGGCTGTGGCCAGGGACACATCCCTATCTCCATAGTGCTAATTGCTTTTGTTAGAGCCATACAACTTATTTCTGAGTAAGAATATATTTAATCCCAATAGTTCCTCTTAGTACACAGATAATACAAGGAATGTTAAGCTTTTAAGATGCACTATTCATCAGATAAAGAATACCTGGCAATAATTTCCACTGTAGTATAACTTGGGAACCAATAACTAGGGTTATGGTTTGCAGGGGGGAGGGAATGTGTGTCTCCCTTTTTATACTCCTTAAATATCAATGATGATATTTCAATGGCAATCTAACTATGCTTTGATATTTTAATAAAACTTTACAGGCATGGATGATAGAGTTAATTTGACTGAGAAGGTCTAGCATCCAGACATGAGGCAGGCTGAAAACGGCTTCCTCGCCTTGGCACGGCCAGGAGAGGTTTTAGGCTCCCAGCCCCACCTCGTGTGGAAGGAGGCGGCGAGCCTTCCAGCCATCCCATATAAACGCTTATCTCCTGACATGGTCTCCACAGTGTGTTTTCCTGACACACGGACTCAGATGTGTAACAACCAAGAGAAACAATCCATAACATTTTCCATTTGGAAATCTGCACGCAGAGGTGACACCTCCAGGGATGAATTTCTCCGGCGTACACATGTGGGATGACATCACAGAAACCACAAAAGCAACAAATTAAACTCAATGAGAACGAATTCCTGCCCACCCCCCCTCCCACCCCCGACTGGTCTCGGAGGGGACATTTTTATGCCTGCTTAACTTTATTAGGAATTCTCAGGCTGAAACTACAGACTATTGTTCTCTGACAAATCAATACAACACATCAATGCATCCTGGAAAACTGCTAAAACTCTGGTCTATGTCAGAATATTCTTAGGAGTCTGTGAGCCCTTGGCGGTGCTAACCAGAGCCAGGAGCGCCGTGGACAAGCCTGTCCGTCCATCCTCCTGCCCCCTCATAGATGATGTTTACCAAGCATTCTGAGCCAGCGAGACCCTGACGGGGCTCAATGCCTGGGCAGCAGGGACACACCTTCCCAATGCCCCTGACCTCCTGCAGTCTTTCCTTGAGGCTCACATGTCAAAAGTTCAGCCTTGCTAGGTAGGGCTCCCCTAAGCAACCAGAGAAGGCTCAGGACAGACCTGATCAAATCCTTCCTCACTGCTCTGAAAACTGTCCCAGCCATCCAGGCACCAGTGGCTCATGCCTATAATCCTAGTAACTCAGGAAGCTGAGATCTGAGGATCATAGTTTGAAGCCAGTCCAGGTAGGAAAGTCCATGAGATTCTTATCTCCAATTAAGGACTAGAAAGCCAGAAGTAGCTCTTTGGCACAAAGCTCAGGTACAGCATGCAGGCCCTGAGTTCAAGCTCCAGACTGACAAAAAAAATGCCCCAGCTAGACACAAGTAACTCACATTCAAGTCACACCAGCCCTTCCAGAGCACTCGCAGTACCCACACTCACCAACAGATGTCTCTATTCCACACAGGCATACACACACACACACACACACAGAGTCTCACACACATACATACACATACACACACTGTCTCTCCCTCACACGTGCACATATACACATACACACAGTCTCTCCTTTACACACATACACACACACTGTCTTTCCCTCTCTCTCACACACCTGTGGTAGAGTGGATGTTGCAGTGTCCCCTTTCCCTCCTTTCTCCTCTCCTCCTACGCTACAAGCCAGCCCAGTGCTGCCAGTCCCCCCTCCCTCCCTGTGGTGTCAGCAGCTGGTCCATCCACACAGGTGGACACAGGAAGCCAAAAACTAATGCATCTATTTGCCTTTTGCTAGCACCATACACAAGTGCCTTACTCAGACCAAACCCAAGGCTGAGACTACTCCACGCTCAGATGACCAAACCTCAAATCCTAACTCTAAGCCAGCAGGGGAGTGACCGCAGAAGAGAGGCAGACAGTGGACAGCAAAGCCCAACCTCCTCCAAGTCATGGCCTTGTGACTGGGCAGCACCCCACGTGGGGTCCTGCAGAGTCCCTTCCGTGGGCCTGCAGCCACAATGACCTCCTCCTACTCACGGCCCTGCTTAGTTAGAAGAGAGAAAGCAGTTCAGCTATGATTACAAAATTCCCTTGTCTCACTAAGTTTCCCATTGCCATCTGTTGCTCTGCAGCTGCTTGAAAACTCTGCTAATGTAACTCAAACAGTCCTTTCTATGCAACAAAGACCCTGCCAGGATCCAGGTGGCCATGTGCGAAGGTGCTGTTTTCCTGCTTTTGGGGAGACTCCCCCCTTATTTCTGGGACAATAATGGCAACTTACAACCTACACACACACACATACACACACACCTGTTTCATATATGAAAAACTAGAAAAAGAAACACTGCATATGAAATTTTAAATGCCCACTGAGAGCTAGCAATTCCACATCCAGTTGTTCTCCATTGAGTGTGACCTGGATCCTTGGGGTTGAGTGCCCCGTAACCCACCCTGATTTTCTGCTTTGTCTTCAAGGAGGCTGTCGGTGTTCCCTGTCATTCTCTTAGAACGTGACTTTTTGGTCCTTAATTTAGCACATTTGAAGAACATCGGGATCATTCTAGTTTTACAAAGAAGTTAAATGCCGGTTTTTGTTCACAGCCTATGAATAGGTACCTTCATCAGGCAGTGATAGGAAAAAAACAAATCTGACTCTAAGGCAGGACAAGCAGAATTAAGGAACTAATCATCCCCTTAGCTCCTTCTTCTAGGCCAATGTGGAAGGTGCCCAGGAAGCCACAGCGCAGCTCCGATGTTTGTGACAGCGATCACAAGACTCACATTGGCCACAGGCCACTTAGCACTGCAAAGGTTAGCATGAGAGCTACATGAACCAGCACAAGCCAGGTTGTAGTGCATCATCCATTTAGAATGCTTTTGTTTGCTTTTTTTCCCACATAACTTCTTATGTTACATTCTGTTACTATTGTATATGTTACTCCTCTAGGGGATGTACAGGTAAACTCAACAAATGTCATTGTTAAGAGTATTGTAGCCAACAAATAAATGGTAAACAGGTACATACAAAGAGTGTCACGTTCATTACTGAGAATCTTACACCAGTGGTGGGGAAGCCGTTATGTGTATTCTGATTCATGGAGTGTTCAGAGCAGAAATGAAGAAGAGTATTTGAGGGCAGGTAAGGGAGGAGGCCTGCTGCCCGCTCTCTCAAGGTGAGAGTCAGGGACAAAGGTGTTCATGCACACACTGGTGAGGATCAGGGAACCACATGCTCTTTGAGCATGAGTTCATACTTACAAAAAATAAACTTTTAGTCACTTCATTGATATAAAAGATAAATTTTTAAAGTAAGCAATGGCAGAACAGTTCAGACATGCAGGCAAAAGAAAATGGAAATCAGAGCATGGTAGGTACTTGATTTTTGTAAGTAGCATTTCATCTGATTTCACAAAATTGCAGAAAATATGCATGGACAGATGATAGGAAGATGATAGCTAGCAAGCTAAATAGATGATAAATGAATGGATAAACATTATTAATGGATAGATGATAGATATAAATGGATGGATGGATGGAAAGATGACATAAATGTATGGATTGATAAATAAATACATGGTAGATTAATGGATAGATGGATGGATGGATGGATGGATTGAATAGACAGATAGATGACAGACAGATGATAGATTAATGGATAGATGGATTAACATCTACGGATAAACATTTATGGATAAAACATCCATAAAATGGATGGACAAAGAGAGGGAGAGGGAGAGAGAGAAAGAGAGAGAGATTGGTTACAAGAATAAAGGGATCTTCATTCCAACCAGGAGCCACTCCAGACATTAAGATGGAATACACTCATAAATCGAAATGAATTGAAATTTCTTTGTACAACTACTTAAAAATAATTTTTAAAAATTTAAAGAGTAAGGGGATCCTCATTCCTATCTGGTGCCACGCATAACAAAGCAAGTAGGCTTTGTGCAGTTAGTAGATGACTACACATAGCCAATAAACAGAACCAAACTCACATATCAGGTGGGATTCTCCAAACACACAGGATGTACCTTCCAAGTGCCTGTGGGGAAGAAAAGAGATCATCAAAAAATAAATTCCGTGCCCTAGAATGCAATTATTCTTTCCTCAAAGATGAATTTTGGATTCTCTGAAAACAGCACATTCCAATTCAGATGGTTCGAGAGTGGCCCAAGAAATTTGTAGTTAGCAAAGGCTTCCAGTGGAATCTTTGAGTCATGAAGATTTATAGAAAAATCCTTGCCAGGTGCTAGTGGCTCATACCTGTAATCCTAGATACTCAGAAGATGATATCAGAGGGTCATGGTTCAAAGCCAGCCTGGATAATTAAATCCATGAGACTCTTGTCTCCAATTAGCCACCAGAAAGTTAGCACTGTGGTTGAAAGTGGTAGAGCACTACCCTTGAACAAAAGGTCTCAGGGACAAAGCCCAAGCCCTAAGTTCAAACCCCACAACCGACCCCCCCCCAAAAAAAATCCTTATTCTAATATGACTAAAGCACTGCTGAGGGGAAAATTCATAGCCTTAAATATATATATTTTTTAAACCCACAATGTGGAGTTAATATCTATGAAAAGAATTTATTAAATGAACAACAGAATAGATAAAAGTAGACAAAACTAGCCAGGCACCAGTGGCTCACTCTTGTAATCCTTGCTACTCAGGAAACTGAGATCTGGGGATTTAAGTTTGAAGTCAGCCAACCTGTCTGGGTTGGCTTTGGACCATAATCCTTAGATCTCAACCTTCTGAGTAGCTAGGATTAGAGTTGTTAGCTACTGGTAGGCTTTTAATTGGTCCTTTCCCACCAAGAAAATTCCACTTCTGTGAGAACCATTGTGGCGGTTTTACATCTCTAGAGATGCAAAGGACGTGTGGTCTGCTAACTTCTTTGCTGAGTTCTAGGTGTGTCTGCCAAGCTAAAGTTCTACCTTTATGTCTCCAAGCTCCCAGGTGGGAGAGTTGGTTACATTAACCCCTACTTGTCTACACAGTACACAACTTCAAAATCCTTTCTCTCCAGGGACTAAATACAGCATGAGGCTCTGAGACAAAATCCTCAAGCCACCAGCAGGAGCATTTCACTGCTAGGGAGAAGTGTGTAAGCACCTAGACCAACAGCCCTGTCCCAGGAAACCTGAGCCTCAGCCAAACACAGCCCACTGAATAGGACCACAGCCTTGAGATAGGCACTTTGAACTTTGATGTGAGGCCAAGGGGCATGGAGAAAACTCGGGCTTTTTTAGAAGCAGCAGCATCTTGGGAGGTAGCAGCAGCCTGACAACACAGCCTACAAGGCCTGCAGTGGGTTGGGAGGGGAGAGAGCAGGAAACACATGGCAGGGGGAGGCTGCTGGGCCTGGAGGGGCTGGGGGACAGCTTCAGGGAGTGGCAGACCCAGATGTGTTTGCACCAGAGTTTCATTGGGTGTCTACCTGCGAAGCCTCGGTGTGAGGAAACACCCCTGCCCTGCCGACACCCAAGGATGAGCCGCATACACACGCACTTAGGTAAAAAGATGTATTTCAACGTGGGAACAGTTGTCTGTTGCATAAAAGTCACTGTGAATCTTCAGCTAAATAAATAAACATATAGCCCTCAGAGAGACAGAGCTTCTTGCTTCTAATTCAACAGTCACTCTTTCTTTGGCATGGATGGTGTGGACAGGTGGTGCTCAGGTCAGTGGATGGTAGATTTTCTGGACAACTTTTTCCTTTCTTCTAATAAGGACAGTACATTCTAGAAAAACAAAACAAACAGTGGATGTCCTCCAAGCTTTGGGTGGGGCCTGAGACTCTGAAAGTACCAAGAAATTAGCCAGACAGGCCAAGAGGGAAGCCCACCTTTCTGCCGAAAACCCGAGCCATTTCCAGCACACCCTTGCCAAACTGAAAGAGAAACAACAAAAACATATGATCCATATAAAAATATATAACAACACACAGAACTGTAATGCACTGCTATCTTCTCCTCCAAAGAAAATCCTTTGAGAAAGATCATTTACCTCATTTTTGACACTTGGATCTGCCCCTCTGTCAAGAAGCAACTGAACCAACTGTTCGTGATTATTCAACACAGCCACCTGAGGAGAGAATAGCGCCATCTGAGGTCCTCTCCCTGGGGGGGCCTCGGGCAGTGGGGAGGGGTGGCCTGTCCCCCATGCAGGAGGCCATGGGCCTAGCTGGCCGGGCCACCGGGGCTTGACAGGCCTGCCTTCTGCTCACCGAACCGCAACTGAAAATGTCACTTGCCTCTCTAATGAAATGTCAGGGGAAAGCCAGCTAGCCCAGCACAGAGAAGCTACCTGTTCACTGCATTAACAGATCTGTTTGGATTTTACAATGGCCCTGGGGACTACAGGTGACCACCTTCAAAGAGGCTGTCATGAAAGACAACAAAAAATACTACAGTGGTGAGTGTTGTGGCAGACACCTGTAGTCCCAGCTATTGGGGAGACTGATACAGGAGAATCACTTGACCCAGAGGTTTGAGGCTGACCTTGCAACATAATGACAACCTGTCTAAATAAAATTATATAATATATAATTATATGTAACATATTACATATATTACATACTACATATATTACACTTAATCACATATTAGATAATATATATTATATTGATATATTAGATAATATTTAATATGATATACTTTGTTATATTATATTGTACTATTATAATTATATACTCCATATAAATTATACATATTATATAATGTATAATATAGATATTATAAAAAGGTAGATACCATGTATACTATAGTTGTTATTATATATTATACTACCGTATAATAGATAACATATGTAAGGTATGATATATATCATATACTGTTATATATAATATGTTATAATACATGATAGTTATATATTACAATAATATATTACATATTATAATATATATTTTACACACACACACACATATATATAAAGTGGCCTTCCTTCCTGCACCTTTTTTATAGGCTGGTAGGGCATCACAGAAAGCCCAGGCTGGCATGTGTGGCTGACCTCACAGAAGGCCTCATGGAGAAAGGCCAGGCCCGTGAGGGGAAGACGTACCATAAGAGGTGTCTTTCCATCTTTGTCCCTCACATTCACATCAGCCCCAGCGTCGATGAGGACCGAGGCCACCTTCTGGCTTCCAGACACCGCAGAGACTCTCATCAGCGGGGTCCACCCGGAACCCGTGTCCATGACGTCCACCTGGGATGGCAGAGGAGGGGCCGTCCTGAAGAAGGAAGAGTCACTCCTCCCCCGCCCGCACTCCCCCACCGGGGTGCGGGGGCTGCGGGAAGCCCAGGTCTCCCGCACTGTGGTCTCATTGTCTTGAAATGCAGCCAAGATGGCCTGGCCAGCCGGCCTGACCCTGGCCCCGGCTGAGCCCGCCTGCTTGTACTGGCCTAACTTCTTGCCTGTCTTTAACCTGGTGGGGTTTTGCTTATTTTTCTTCTATGTATCTTTGAAAGCACTTCACTTCCTTTCTAGAATAAGACGGAAGACCTACACCCTCACACACGACAGTAAGGCCTTCTCCATTTTAGGTAGGACATCTATCCTAAATGCAAAGGGGCAGATCCGTGACACATGATCTAATCTGCCAGGGTGGCCAACTCAATTCCTTCTCCACACACAGTGTCCCTAGTAGCAGACTCAGTTCCCTAGACTCAATTCCCTCAGTGCTGTGCTTTATGAGACCCATGCTGAAGTAATAAGATGTCAACTGTTTCCTCTGCAGCTTCAGAAGAGCATCCCAACGGAATCACCAGGTCCTGGCCGGTTGCCTAGGCCTCCCCAGGATGGCTGTGTGTGTGTGTCTTAAATCATCTCCTACAACCAAACGAATAGCCGTGGCCCACAAGCCCATGCTAGTTAATAGTGACCCATAATCACCTAGGCGATGCAGTTGCACATGTTCACACACATTTTTCTCTTTGAATTCAGAAAAGTCAAGAGTCTTTCCAGTCTCACACAGTTCACCACCAGTAGGACCAGTCCCCTTTGGAGTAAATATCACTGGACATTTGGGAAGAGAGTGGTGGAACTCTGCTGGGTGCCCTCACCCACCCCCACTGTCCTCCGCAGCAGCCAGTGCGCCAGCTGCCCACAGCATCTGACCACCACCTGCAGCCACCCAAGACCTCTCGGGGGCACGCCACGCGGCTCTGCCCTCCACAGCGTGGCTCCTGTGCTCCAGAAAAAGGTGGAACTTAGCCCAAACTGTGCTCAGAGCTAAGCCCAGACAGCCTACATTTCCAAAATCCCAGCGTGTATGTGATCAAACCAAAGACTGCCCAGTTGGGGATCTTTCTCCCTTTCAACAACAACAACAAAAATAATTAACTTTTTTTCAACCATGGATGCTCACTGGGTCTGAAACGTGAGCACCAATCATCATAAACCTAGCGAGGGGCGCACAGCTGCTGAGAACAAGTCTAACACCCTGTGGGAGACGGGACTTTGCTTCATCTGAGTTGAGTTTTCAGGTCCTTGGTGCAACTGCCCAGTACACGGCTGCCATCTGGCAATCACAGCCCACCAAACTCATCCGATCTCAATTTCTAGGCCTTGACATTTTCAGTCCAAGTCTTTGAAGAAACTAAGGTGTTCCCTTGCCATTCTTGATCTCATTATAATTACCCTTCTCCAAATACCTACACATGTCCAAGCAGCCCAACTCCTTATTTGTCACACCAGATTTACACTCCTGATGGCCTACAAACAAATGCAGGCCAAGGCGCCTGTGCCCTGGCAAAGATGCGTGCCTGCCTGCAGCGAAGATGCGGGGAGCTGAAAGGCCTCCATCTCCCCTAGCGCCAGCTTGCCCTTGGGGACTGATGTGTAACCAGCACTCTTTAAAGCTAAGCACATACCAAGCGACAGGAAGCACTGTGGCCATCCCTTCTTCACTATCCTTGTGTCTTCAGCGCTTAAAGCACTGTCTGGCACGAGGTAGATGCTCAGGCTTCTTCCTACAGGACACCACACCACGACCATCGGAAGCCTCATGATTGATCCCATCCATTCTCCAAAGCCTGGCAGACTTCTCCTGATAAGTTAGAGACCTTTCTCCAGCCCTGGGCCCTGTAGAAAGCACTTCCGGCCCAGAAGGAAGCCCCGTACCTCACAGCCCTCCTTGATCATCCACTCGATCACGGGGCAGTGGCCTCCATCTGCAGCCCAGTGCAGCGCTGTACAGCCCCCCAGGTCTCTTGCCTCCCACGAAGCTCCGTGTCGTCGGAGATACTTCACGACATCGAGGTGTCCTTCGTAGCATGCGAGCATCAGACTGCAACACAAAGCAGCAGCAGCCTCCGCCCTGAGTGCCGTCCTGAACCCAGGACCACATTTAACCCACTCGCTTCACCTGAAACTTGATTTCATTGGTTTTCATTTCTACACATCATCCATTTGTCCAAATGAGTAGCTACACAAACTATGCTATGTCCATATGAGAAGGGAAAGAAAGGCTACCAGAGGAAGTGACCTTAGAACCTTACAATCCACAAGACGCTGGACACATGTTGTCTGATTCTGTTTATAGGAAATGTTCAGAATAGGCAAGTCTCTAAGAGCCAGCTACCAGGCTAGTGGATTCCCTTGGCTACAGGGAAGAGGTATTGAGTGACTGAGCGAGGATGTGGAATCTTTTGGGGATGATGGAATTAGGTGGTGGCTGCTGCACAATTTTGTGAACACCATTTTGAAAGCCAAATTGTATGTCTTCAAGGGTGTGTCTTATGGTATATGACTTTTCCTCAGTAAGAAAAGGAATAATGACTGTAACTGAGTGTAAAATATTGGAGTTTAGAACATCTATAGTCCCTGATGATATTTAAAGAAAAAAGAAAAAGGAAAAAAAAACTCATTTGCTACTACTAGAGATAACAAGTTTGAACTCAGGGCCTGGGGCTCACTTAACTTGCTTGTGCTTGGTGCTCTACCAGTTGGACTATACTTACCCAGCATTTTGCTGGTTAGTTGGCAATGGAGTGATGCAGTCTCTTGGGCTTTTCTGTTTGGGTGGCTTCAAACTACAGTCCTCCAGATCTCTGCCTTCTATGCAAAGTGTGTAAGTGGGAGGCACTGGTATCCGGCTCCTCATGGCTGTCTTTAAATGCACACTTCCAAATTTCTTCCAATTCATATTTCCAACCACTCCATGAAAGTATCCTTCTTGCTCTCTCTCTACCAGTACTATTGTTTTTTAATTAACAACTTTATAGGTGGTTTTTTTAATCACTGGTAAAGTTGAACATTTTTCATACGGATTGTTTACTTTTTTCCAGAAAATTGCTTTTTCCCACTGTATTGCTCTGTGTTTGGAGTATGAAGATGTGTGCATGTTTTCTATACTTTGCAGATAACATCCATTAGATATTTCCTCCTCTAGTCCTTACCTCTGTAGTCAAGGTGTTTAAAATATATCATGTATATTATTAGTCTTTTCCTCAGCAATGTCTTTCATATTGTATGCCTTTCACGTTACAAGATCAGATGAGAGTATACTTGCTTCTAGGTGGTTGTGGTAATTTTTATCCTTAATTCTCGCTCACGGTGTGTTACTTTAAGGCCAAAATCAAACTTAATGCTTTTGTCTTCAAAGGTCCTGTTTTTCTAACACCTTCCTCACTGCTTTTTGGTTCCCATTATCAGGTGTTAAGTATGTGTTTATACACGTTCACCTTAAGATTTCTATTTATCTTTTTCCCATTTGCCTGGACCAGTGTCACCCTACTTTAATAACTATGACTTTTTTAAAGCATTCTCGTAACAGTCAAAGCAAATCCTTCTCTGATCTTCTCAAAGTTTTAGAAGCTGATATCATCTATTTGTTCTTCCAGGAAAGTGACAATCATTTTGATGGTCACTGTGTCTGAGGCAACATTCGATCTATCTGTTAATTTGGGGGACACTGGAATCGCCCTGGGAGTCGAGCTCACCCTGCTGGCCTGTGGCATACATCACTACTTTAAAATCTTGGTGTCTCTCGGTATAGTTGTCATAGGCTTTCTTTTCATTCAATTTTATTACCGTTTCAGATTTCCTTTTCAATTCTTCTTTCTCTTTCTCGTCAGATTCATTAACCGGTAATTTCAGGTATTGTTAAACTGCCTTGAAGTTGCCCGCGTACCTGAACCTCCTTAGTAAGCTCAAGTATTTGAAATTGCATTCTCTCAAGTTCTGTAGTACAGGATTCAAGCCTCTGATTCCAGACCTTTCCAAAGCTAATTGGCCTTCCAAAAGCCACCCAACATGAATTGACAAGCTATCACCTGTATCTACCAGCACTGTTTCACCCATGTTTCAAAGGTTAACTCCTTCAATGCTCTCGACAGCACCAAAGGTAAGCATTTCTTTTATTATTGTTTCACAGAGGGTGAAATGGAGCAGTGGGGAGGGGCACACAGGTGTGTCTGTCCATCCCCACCCATGCTGGAGACCTCCCTCCCCCCTCACAGGTGTCTGTCTATCCTCGTCCATGTGGAGGACCTCCTCTCCCACACAGGCTTCACTACTAACTTAGACAAGGAATTTGCCAGTGCTAGGAATGACACTGGAGAATTGTCTGAGATGATTAAAAAAGAAAAAGAACACCAGCTCTGTGTGGTGCTGGGCATGTGTGTACCTGTAATCCCAGCTCCTCAAAAGGCTGAGACAGGACCATCACAGGGTGAGAGCAGCCTGTAAAACACAGTGAGATCTCCACCCCGAGCAGCTGGGATTCCTGGAGTGCGCCACCACACCCAGCTCTTTCTCCCACTCCAGGGTGTGAGTAATGAACACTCTGTGGCCTCTCAGCTTCCTTCCCCTCTGCTCCAGAGAAGTGCACAATTATTCCCTTAAACTCCTTGCCTGGAAGGATGGGCTCAGTGGTAGAGCGCTTGCCTCGCATGCATGAGGCCCTGGGTTCGATTCCTCAGCACCACATAAGCAGAAAAAGCTGGAAGTAGCACTGTGACTTAACTGGTAGAGCGCTAGCTTGAGCTGAAGAGCTGAGGAACAGTGCCCAGGCCCAGAGTTCAGGCCCTACGACCAACAAAAATAAAAAAATAAAATGAAGTAAAGTATCCATCTCAACAAGTATACCAAATCTACTGTTAAGACACAAAGCACCCTTTTCTTTTCATACTTAATTTCCCTCCATTAGATCAAGTGATATCATCGCAGTATTTAGGCGACTGAGGTAGGACAGTCATGAGTTCAAGGCCAGCCTGGCTACATAGTAAGGCCTGGTCTCAAAAACAAATTTTTTTAACAAATTGTTCTACAATCATTATTATGTCCCCCTCTCAATTTCTAACGTTCTCTCCTCTAGTATTTTCAAGAGATTGGTCTATACTGATTGTACTTTTTTTTTTAAGAGGCAACTCTCCTACTTCTCAGTAAACTTTCTCCTTTTTTGATGAATCAATTCATATTCTTATTTTAATTTTTTTTTACCATTTTTCTATCTTTGTAAAACATAAAAACTTCTCTAGTCAATGGCGTAGTCCTACACTAACTTACGAGTTATGTGGAGAATACTCTAAGTCTGGGAGCTTGTAGAGGTTATTTAAAACTCGCTCCTGCGCCATGTCCAGAGGATGGAACAGGACATTGCAGGGGCTTTTCTTAGGGTCCTTCATTCTCCTGGGAGCAGCAGACCACAGAGAGATGGGGGGCAAGATGGGGATGGAGGCCACGTGCATCCACAGCTCGCTGTCCATAGGTCCATCATTAGCAGCAGCAACAGCCTGACAGCCTGCCGTCCAACAGAGGTCAGCACCCCGCAGGACCCCGCCTTCCATGCCGCATCCTCACACCACATCCCTCAGGTGCCTTCTGACACCCTCTGCAGGCAAAAGTGGCATTTGGCCCAAGATGACTGACCGCAGAGCCCACACAGACGCACCTGTGTCTGAAGGCTACGTGCCTGAGTCCCTAAGTTAGGGCATGCATACATGCCTCAGGGTGCCCAAGCTATGCTGAACCAGCAGAATCTACCCTTGGGAGGTGTAGGCCCAAAGCCCCCCGGAAGCCACTGTGACAACAGCTTGATTTGCTCCTTTAATCCTGCAGGTGGGCGGGCTTGCTGGCTTAGAAATGGCTGGATGTTTTCTTGAGACTGCTGTCTAGCATCTGTGTGCATCGGTGTGCATCTGTGTGCCTGTGTGTACAGTGGGAACCACACTTTGCTCTCTGTGCAACACAAGCACCAACACCAGAGCCAGGCCTGTGAGAGGCACCTGATAAATACTGGTGGGCTAGAATTCATTAAGTCAGTGAGTAGTCATGCCTTCCCTCTGTCCTTTGTTAATGTCACACTCTTTTTCGTGAACTTTCCTGTCATGGGCTCTGCCCTTCGTGGCAACCTCCTGAAAGCTCTTTTGTGGTTATTGTCCATGCTGATCTCTGGCTGCTTCTTTAGAAATATCTGGAATCCTTGGAAAACAGGAGAGAGCTGGAAGGGAACCAGAGTCCTAGGAGAGCAGCACCGTGCTGAGCACGCCGCTGTCGGTACGAGGAGCACTGCAGGAGGAGGACACGTTGGAATGGATGCTCCACTCCAGGCCTGGGGGTGGGGGAGGGAGAGCAGGAGGGAACCACCACCGCCCCTCAGGAGGTACAGCCCTCAGCACTTCCAAACCAAAACCAAAGTGGAGATCTTCCACCTTTGTTGCCTTAGTCTATTCAGCTTTTACAACCTTCACACCAGATGACGGTCAGCGTTTTCCTGACTGCCTAAATTTCACTGAGGCCATACCAAGATTTGAACCCAAGATTATAAACAATGGGGAAAAAATGAAAAAGCAATGATTACACTGTGACCGTGAGAAGCCTACTTTAGAAAGAATGGCTCCTTTAAAAAAATCCCCTTTTCACTAAAACGTTGGTCCCAAGAACAACAAACCAAAATGGAAGGAAATATTCTGGCTCAGTGGAAGCCCCCCCCCACACACACAGGCCTAGGGACACAAGCACAACGCCACGGGGGTGTTTCAGGCCCCTCCTGCCCACCCGCCACCTCCTGTCCCTGCTGCCTACCTGTCCTTGCCACTTCCATTCTTCAGATTCACATCCGTGCCGTTAGAAATTAAGAGTTTCACAAGCCTAAAGGAGGAAGGGTTAAAGCAGCAAAGTAAGTGGCTTTGTTGACTTGGAACCCAAGAGAACCCAGAGCCAATCAGAAACAAGACACCCATTTGCAACACCTTCTGTTCCATCTTGAGGAGCCAGCTGGTTTTAAAGATACGGCAGTGTGAATCTGGAAGACCACTCAACACTAGAAACAGGTTTTTACTAAGTCGTGAATTATTCATTAATGAATGGGCTGGCCAGGGTAAAGACTGGACTATCAAAATAACTCCATCATTTTAACCACCACTTTTAATATATTCTCCAATGGCAGCATTTAATGGAAATGCCTTTCTTTTTCTCAAAATGGCATTAATTAAAACATAAATGCAACTGAAAAAAATAAATGGTTAACACTTATACTTTGTAAAACAGGTAATGGAGTGTGTCCTTGAAATCACATCAGAGGAACCTGGTGCCTAGAATGTTCCCCTTCCATCTTTTTGTTTGTTTGTTTAAAAGATTCACATTCCAACAACCAGTGTTCCGAGGACATATAAAATCCACTACATGTGATTAAATGGCTCTCTTCCCTGATCTATGATTGCACATTTTACATTCTCTCCTGCATGCTGCATAACTGGAGGGTAAAAACAGCGTGAAGGGGGTGAGATGGGGTGAGAGGGCGGCAGGTCGACAAATGAGGGGGGGGGGATGCAGTCATAAAATCCAATCTACATCCTACAAAATTACAGAAAAGTGCAGGAAGGGATGGGTTGGAAGGGATGGGTGAGGACGCGGAGGAGGGTGACGTGGAACAAGATGCACTGTGTCCGTAAGCTTCTTTGTTCAATGAAAACTCCTTTGTTCAACTGAAGATAATAAAAATATAGAATAAATAAATAAAAGCAGCTGCAATCGGAAGCCATTTAATGAGACAGTTTGGGAAAGAGAGAGACGGCGGCCCCTCCACCAGGCTCTTCTGAGGCCCCACCCTGAGGGTGCCCGGTGGGACGGGAAAGGCTGGAGTGCACGCTCAGAGCACCTCATACCTGGTGTATCCTTTCTGAGCTGCGACCATCAGAGCAGTAAAGCCAAACTTATTGGGAACATCGATCTTGACATGACTTGGGAAAAACAGAGAGAAAAGGGATTAGCATGTGCAACTCTGCATGGCTCCCAGGAGAGGGCGCTCCCTGCAGGGCTTGCCAAAACTGGCTCCTTTTACCAAAAGTGGATATTTCTTCGGGGCCAGTGAAGCTTTTTGTATGATTATTGATTTACGTTATTGTTATTGTAGAGGTGATGCACAGAGGGGTTGCAATTTCATGAGTCAGGTAATGAGTACATTTCCTTTCATACGGCGTCTTCTGTTCCCTCTTTCTCTCCCAGTCCCTCCCGCCCATCTCCATCCACGGGTTTTACAGCTCACCTTTGTCAATGTCCAGCCCACTGAGGCTTTATTATCTTACAATGCCTTGCCTAATATTTTTTAATGATTCAAACAAATGCCTCAGTGCACTTGAAACAGACAGACTTCTTTCGACCCAGAACCTCTGTGCCCTCTAGCCCAGCCTCTGACAATTGAAAACAGTGTTCATCCTGGCCCCACTTCCTAGGCTCCTCCAGCAGGAGCAGGTTTGGTGGAGACCTAAGCTCTCACCTATTGGCAATGAAGCCATGTTGCTCAGAGAGGACGTACAGCTCTTGCTGTCAGCTGAGGAGCTGGGCTCTCTGTGGGAACCTTCTCTTCTCGAATTTAGACGCCCATTACAAACCACCTGTCCTCAATTCTTCCTGAAGAAGTAGTTCTGGGTGGCTTGGACCTGGTAGTTTGGACGGAGCGTCTAGATCAGAGAACAGAGGCATCGAACATCTCACCCACAGCAGCTGCATCCACTTTACCTCTAGTGTTCTAGAACCTTCTTGATGACTAAAGTTCTAGAACCTTATAGATGACTTGGTTTCTAGAACCTTCTAGGTTACAAGGCACTCATTGGGTGACTTTCTGATTTCCCCGGAGTGTACAAGTGAACATTCAGTAATGCCATGTACCGAAATGCAAGGGGCAGAAGTTGTTTCTTCAAATAAAATATGACACCCAGACTTGCAATTTCCTTTTACAATTTTTCATTAAATAATTACAAACTGTAATATTTACATGGGGCTTTATGATTGCCTTTATGAACTGTGCTTTACTAACTCATATTCATCACCTGAGATTAATTTGGGAGGCACTTTCCAAGGAACAGGAAATTTTAAGAAAACAAAATAAAGCTACATCATGTATTTCTATGCACTTTATGGGCATTAAAAAAAAAAGGCCAGCACAGAATTCTCTCACCCTCCTTCTAGTATTCGAAGCAGCAAGTCCTCGTCGTTCACATTGACAGCTCGGTGAAAGTGCTCACTGCTTATGGGTTCTCCTGAAGAAATCAGATGGAGAGCAATCACCCCCAGTACAGCAAGGAAGACGGACTCGTCCCGGCTTCACTCTCCCTCCACCTCCAGTTCGTGTTCATCTCCAGGCAGGCAAAGCTGTGCTCCTAAGAGCTCTCACAGTCCCTGCTCAACTGCTTTGTGTGTGTGTGTGTGTGTGTGTGTGTGTGTGTGTGTGTGTGTGTGTGTGTGCGCGCGCGCGCACATGTGCCCATGTGTGCACACACACACACACACGCACATGCAGGGGCTTGAACTCAGGTCCTGTGTGCTGTCCCCTGACTTTTTTGCTTCAGGCTACTGCTCTACTACTTGAGCCACAGCTCCACTTCTGGCTTTTTGCTGGTTAATTGCAGACGAGTCTCACAGACTTTCCTGCCCAGTCTGGCTTCAAATGATCCTCAGATCTCAGCTTCCTGAGTAGCTAAGATTATAGGTGTGAGCCACCAGCACTGCTTCTTTTACTGCAAAAGATCTGATTTTCAGATTAAGAGAAAGTTTAGAGCAATTTAAAGTCTTGGGATATGCTCACATTATGAAGTATAGCTTTGTGATTGCTCTTGGGCTACCTGATCCTTTCTGATTTCATAAGGCAAAATCAACATCTCTTAGAAGCAAGGAAACTCAGCAATTGGCACAACATACTAGTGTGTTATATTGCAATGAATGGTTAAGCTATTACAACTACTACTATTACTACTACTACTATAGTAAATTGCTTTAAATTTTGTGAATATTTAATTCTTCCTTCAGCTTTTCTCCCTGGAGTTTGAAAGAAGGGTCAGCAGGGCACATATACACAGGGAGGTAGGGAGCATGTGAGAAATCCACACCATGGAGAACAGCGTGGAGAGCAAGCCTGTCTTTCTCAGGAGGGGGAGGAGGAGACGGCACAGGGGCATCAGGTCTGCGGGGAGGAGGGGGGAGGAGGAGGCAGGTCTACAGGAGCAGAGCGTGGGATGAGAGGCTACAGAGAAGCAGCTCACCTTCCAAGGCATTGTCTCATGGTTTCATTGGCTGCACATGCCAAGCCTTTCAAAGTTAGACGCCACCGTGATTAATCAGTGAAGGAAACAGTCAAGTGTGACACATCGGAAATGCCCAATGCACCACTGTGGCTGAGGTAGGAGCCATGCGAGTGGCAGCTGGCATCACTGCCTGGGCGCCTGCCCCACCCTCGTGCCCGGCCATGCCCTAGCAGTCCTCTTCTGTAACACCCACCTGTCCGATGCCTCCACGGACATTTGAGGTGACAACCCCTGCTCTAAATAATTCACTGGACAAGCAGCACCCATTCATTAAGACATATTTCCAGAGTAACTTCCAAGCAAGTCATATGCTAAGGCACTGGGGTCACAGAGAATGAGATAGAAGAGGTCCTGTCCTTGCTGATTTACATTGGGTGCCCACTTTCAGACCTTTGCTCTTCTAAATCCTAAAATGCCTCCTGTGCAGCATGCACCAGACTGCCTAGTGAGACTCATCCTGGCTCCCCTCTCCCCTGTTATCTGCCCCACAGAGGTCAGCGGCTTGCATTCCTGCCAGCTCCTGAGAGCAGCGAGTCCGCGGAGACCCTGGCAGGGACGGCGGGTCCTCACCAGCATGCCTGAGCTGATACCTTCCTTTGTTCAGGTAAAAGCCGCTTTGTGACAACCTCGAATTATTTCCTAATGGTTTTGCCTGCTAGACTTTGCCAACCTCTAGATTCTTTTCACCCCACCAGGCTTCCTTTTCATCATTCTAACACATCTTTTCAAGCCAAAGGCTGGGCATACAAAGTATGTCAAGAACCCGTGTGAGTGAGGCCAGGCCCATGGCTGGATGCAGCCTTCCAGGGAGCTCCTGCCCAGCCTTGCCCAGCCCTGCCCAGCCCAGCCCAGCCCAGCTCTGCCCAGCCCAGCGCAGCCCAGCCCAGCCCTGCCCAGCGTCCCAGGAAAGGCACAAGACTCAGACTCCTGGGGACACCGGCAGTGTCATTTTGTTGTCCCCAAGTTGAGTGGGGGTGAGGGGCAAGTTGGGGGGCAATTGAAGGGGTGGGGGCAGTGGGGGTGAGGGGTGCGCATGAGGTGGGGGGCTGGTATCTCGCAGGGGCCAGCGATGCCTAGGGCACAGGGAAGCCAACAGCCACCAGGACTCACCAGATCCAAAATGTCAGTAGTCCATAGTTAACACCTTTGCCCTCCCCTCCCTACGTCCCCTCCCCAGTTCAGGGTCATGTGACCCATCTACATCTGAGGTGGATGACAGTGGTGCAGCGGGGAAGCCAGCTGGGTAGGCTGCCTGCGGAAGGCTCGTGCCATTTCTACTAGAGGACTTCATCCGTGCTTCGTAAATTCTCCTCCCAGCCATGAAACCAAGCCTGGGAAATGCTACGCTGTCCTAAGGCCAGCCAGTCAGGAGTGGCCAAAGAGCTCATGGCCGGTCCCACTGCAGTGCTAGCTCTACATCCTTACTGCCTACAGTCACAAAGGCCCAAGGCCACATAAATAAATACATAAATAACTTTGCCTAGGACTCTGCTCCTAAGAAGAAAGGTGTTCAGACCTCACTGGGGCTGGGGCTGCAGCTGTGTGCTGGAGGTTTAGAGAAATCATGAGCTTGCATCCAGGGGAAAAGCTTATCTCTGTTTTCATGCTGGTTCTGGGGCTTGAACTCAGGGCCTGGGTGCTGCTCCCTTGCTTTTTCAGTTAAGGCTGGTGGCTCTACCACGTGAGTTACTCCATTTCTGGCTTTTTGCTGGTTAAGAGTCTCACGGAGCTGGGTGCAGGTGGCTCCTGCCTGATGGATTCAGTGTATTCTCGCAGCCTTGCTATCTGTTTTGTTGGTGGTGGTCGTGGGGTTTGAACTCTGGGCCTGGGTGCTGTCCCTGCACTCTTCAGCTCAAGGCGAGCATTCTACCGCTTGAGCCACAGCAACACTTCTGGTTTTCTGGTGGTTCATTGGAGATGAGTTTCACAGACTTTCCTGCCAGGGCTGCTTTGAACCATGATCCTCAGATCTCAGCCTCCTGAGTAACTAGGATTACAGGCGTGAGCCACCAGTGCCTGGCAGTCTTGCTAAATTAAGGAAGGTTCTGGAAGTACCCACAGCATCCTGTGGACTGAGCACTGTACTCTAGAACCTCTGCCTTACCTGGCAGGGAGGCACTGAGCACACAGATGTTGGAAGTAAGTCCATAAGTACGTCAGCTATGAGAGCATTTGCAGGAAAAAATAAACAAAAAACAACCAGGGAATCTTAGCATTCTGCTACAGCTAAAAAGAAATGCATCAGCCAGGCGCAGTGGCTCACGCCTGTAATCCTAGCTACTCAGGAGACCAAGATCTGAGGATCACGGTTCAAAACCAGCCCTGGGCAGGAAAGTCTGTGAAACTCTTATCTCCAGTGAACCACCAGAAAACCGGAAGTGGGGCTGTGGCTCAAGTGGTAGAACACTCGCCTTGAGTTGAAAAGCTGAGGGACAGCACCCAAGCCCAGAGTTCAAGCCCCACGACCGGCAAAAAAGAAAAAAAAGGAAAGAAAAGAAATGTATCATAGGAAGAAAGCGACCCTGGCAGGAAAGGAGTGAAGATGCCACCATCGGTCATATTCCTGACTGGTGGATTTCCAGCAAAAGGAGGCAGTCTCCATCTGTCAGGTCTGAGGGCTCCTCTCTTCTTCCCAAGAAGACCCTGCCCCAAGAAGGCAATGGAAGTTTCTACTGGAACCCTGTGAGATAGATGAGGCCTAGAAAAGTCTCAGCATGAATTTCACAGCGACACAGAGGAGAAATGAAAGGACCTTTGTCTTCCAAGTGTAGCAATTCCTTCTACTCCCACTACAGGCCTGAGTCGGGAAGAACAGAGGAAATTCCAGGCTGGGGAGAACTTTCCATTCCTCCCACCCTGGGACCCTTCTAGCCTTTGTACGTGTGGCCCAAGGGAATGCCATCAATAACTGCATCTGAAAATAACACGGCAGGCGTTGGCCCGTGTGGGTGTGGTTGAGCAGTGCTTTGTAGGGGGGCTGCCTGGCCGGTGAGGTGGGTGGGGACGCACTGGGCACAGGGCACTGGGAGGGGAGGGGCAGAGTGGCCTTGCAGTAAGCCATTGCTCTTGTTCTATAAAGGAGGCTCTGAGCGGCAGCGGAGTCCGCAGATAGTATATGGTGATAGCACCTTTCTTGGTGGAATTTAGGTCTTTATTAAAAGCAGTGAATAAATCATGAACTCATTGGAGAAGATATTTGCCAATTAACAAGTAGCAGCTGTTTTTCTTTCTTTTTTAAGGGCCCAGCTGATTAAAATTGCATGCCTCATTTAGGCGAGAGTCTAGTGTACTTTACCTGGGAAAGAAAAAAAAAAGCTGAGCATTCTTTATTCAAACAAAGTACATGCTTTCGTGATTCATTAAAACACTCCCAAAATGAATGCAAATTAGTGGCTCACAGAAGCATTTTCACTTGCTCTGTATAACGTGTGCATTTTTAAATGCTTTGCTTAGCACGAGACGTTATAAATATAACAATAGCATAAGGGAACAGCAGAGCCAGGACCTCCTCACCAGAGGAAAAGGATCTTCAGCCCTCTGCCCGGTGGAGTCCCAGGAGGCTAGGATGCCCGCATGGCCTCGGGCACTTGTGCCGTGCCTGGCAGAGAAACATTCAAGTGCCCCCCCCCACATCAACACCTGGCCACCACCAGCAAGGCCTCACCCCACAGACCGTCTCACCTATTTGCCCGTGAAAGCCATGCAGCTGTGAGGAGAGATGATGCTTGCACAGGCCAGCTCTGGCTGCCTCTCCAGCGAGTTGGGCTCCCCTGGCAGCAGATACAGCTGCCGGCAGCTGGTGGGCAGACTTAGGCTGGCTACCGCCTTCCCAAAAGAGCTCCCTGTGGCACACTGACTCCCTGAAGACTCTGGCTAGAAGACCCAGAAGCCTCTGTCCTGACATGGACATGACCACTAGTGACCACCTGAAGCCCGCTGTAGTTGGTCACAGAACCCCCATGTCCACAGCACCTGACAAGTTCAAGCGGCCTTGCCCCATGGGTGGGCAATGGGTCCATCCTTCGACAGACGTGAGTGTAGCCCCGAAGTCCAGTGTTTCTCTTCATACTCTATTCTGCCTCTGGGCCTCAGTTCATTGGTCACCCACCCATCCATCAAGGACCTCCTACTGAAATCCTAGAGATGGCCTCACCCTTCAGGAACCCACAATCTAGAAGGGAGTCAAAAGGGTAGACAGATAAGAAGCAAGAGGCATGCTGGAGGAGGTAACTAACCCCTCCTTGCACTAGGGAGGAGCTGTTCCAGGAATCAATGCTGAATAGATGCTGCAGGTGAAGCAGGTGTGGTGAGCAAAGCAGGGCCTCGATGCTTTAGGGAGGAGGAACAGAGGCAGGATGTGCAGGATGTGGGGCAGTGCCCAGGGACCTGGAGGTGGGAGGGGCAGCCCAGCAGGAGGCAGTAGAGACAAGGCCTGGCCAGTTTCCCATGGAGACTATTCCAACGCCAGCCCTGTCTTGCGACTCCTCCTCCACCTTGCCTTCCTCTGCACACAAAGCATTCAATCTCACTTCTCTGCTTTCTCCGACTTCTTTCTTCCTCCTGGGTACTCCAAGGCCCAAACATCTTCCATATAAAAGCCAGTGCTTTCAGCATCCCTAGGTTAAAGACTAGGCCTCCTACCTGATCTGCAGCCCCATAATTGACCATTTCACTCAAAAGTTTTCTCTGAAAGGACATGTTTTTTTCACCACCACTGAGAGCAAAGGGCCTTGCTCAGCTCTAGCTGAGCTCACAGGTCACTACCCTAAGCTCCGGTGCCCTCCTGTCATATTTGTGACTGAAGGTGAGACGGACTAACAAAATCAGAATTATCTCTAGCTCCCACAAGAATGTGCACAGACCCAGCTGAAGGCTGCAGAAAACCTCCCCGAGAGGCCAGTGGCACACTGACTAAGACTGAAAAGGAGCTTTCCTCATAAAAGGAAGATTTCATTTGTGCAGCCTACAGAAGCCCTGTGCAGTCAGGGGGGCGTCTCTGACCATTATCATCTTTGCAGATTTCCAGCCCAAAGGGAACCCTGGACACTGTCAGCCTCAAGGTGCTGTAAAACCTCAATCTCAGAAAATATCTTAGCACTGGGATGAGACGGATGAGGTCAGAGGCACTGACGGCTCTGATACACCACTTCTGTGGGGATCTCCCTCCCAACAGTACTATTGCTTGCTCTCTGTACCCCAAGAGCCAGCTGTCACTGACCAGCCAACACATGTGCAAGGAGGCTGCCCAAAGTGGATCGGGCTGAGCAGATCTCCTCAGCCACCCTGTGCCCAATATCCACAGCTGAGCAGTCCTGGCTCCAAACAGCTCTGTTGTAAACATGCGGTTGCACTTCTCTTAAGTCATGTGACAGCCAGGCCCAAGCAGTAAACAACATTATTGCAGTGCTTAAAGACAGATTCCCCCAGCCAGGTGATGGAGGCTCTGGCCTGTAATCCTAGCCACTCAGGAGGCTGAGATCTGAGGATCACAGTTTGAAGCCAGCCCAGGCAGGAAAGGCCAGGAGATTCTTATCTCTAATTAACCACCAGAAAACTGGAAATGAAGCTGTGTCTCAAAGGGGTAGAGCCCTAGCCTTGAGAGGAAAAAAAAAAAAAAAAAAAAGCTCAGGGATAGCGCACAGGCCTGAGTTCAAGACCCACAACCAAACATAACCAAGATGGAATCCTCTCCACTTTCCATAAGGCTGAGGAAAAGGTGGAATATTTCTACCTCTATTTCTACCTTTGTCTCTATTAAAGGAATGTGGAGGGGTGGGTACTCACGGGTTGTAGACACGGAGATGACAGGGCTGTACTGGTATTCTCCTGAGGGGCTGGTGACCTTCAGTCGAAATTTATATGGTGTCCTGGGCTCCAGACCTTCCACCACATGCTTGGTTGCATATCCCCTAGAGGGGAGGAGACATGCAAGCTGATGATTCCGGGAACCTAAGCCAGGGTTCGGTGACCAGACAGGACAAACTCTGCTCCTGGTTTGCTGAATTCCTGCAGAAAGGTCGGGTCCTCTACGGTCCCTGTGTCCCCAAGGCCCGGCCAGCGCCTTGAGAAAGAACTGTGTTAACTCTGACATTCAACTTCAGATAACCAAGTTTCAGTTGGAAAGGCAAGGCCGCCAGTAAGGTCATGTCTGCAAGTTTTAGGTGGGGTCTCCTCATGGGTGGGAGGCTGCCACAGGGACAGGACCCAAAGCCCTAAATGCACCAGGGTTTGCTGCTTGTGAGCACCTGCCAGGCCAGCTGAGAGGTTAGACAGCACCTGAGAGACAACTGTAATGTTACGCCACCCCTAGGGATGCTGGCGGCCATTGCTGAGCACGTCTAGAACAGAAACCTGAATATACATGTCCAGAGGGCACAAGTTTATAGTGTAATAATTTGGAGCCTATAAAATGAGTAACAACAGAGACAGTTGTGGAGCCGGCCTGCTCACCTGCTCAGAGAATGCTGGGAGGCAGATGTTGGGAGACCCTACTCTTCTGCTGGGGGTCTGCCTCTCTAGGAGTAAAGGCCTTCAATGGTGACAGGAGTATCATTATTATAATAGGTATTATATATAAAATAGATGACATATATTGTTATTATTTTAGTATATATATTTTCCCAAAATGGCTCAAAACCTCAGACTCCCTTTTCTGCCAAAGGTCTTTATCAGTATCTGGCTAAATTCTAACCCATTTTCAAACCTAAACACACATTTTTTTCTTTCCTCATACTTCGAAGACTTTTTTTTTGGTGGTGGGAGTACCAATACTGGGGCTTGAACTCATGGCCTAGCAGTCTTTCTTGGCTCTTTCCCACTCAACACTGAGCCACACCTCTACTTCTGTTTTTTTTTTTTTTCTGGTTAACTGGAGACAAGAATCTTATGGACTTTGTGCCCACTCTGGCTTCTAACCATGATCCTCAGATCTTAGCCTCCTGAACAGCTAGCATTACAGCCTAGGGTGACTGACATCTGGCTAAAGGCTCAATTTGGGAGAGGAGCGTATACAATGTCCAGCTTTTTCTTCTTTTCCCCTTCACTCCAGCCCTCCTCCTTCTCTCCCTTCAGCTACTTTAGCCCACTCCATCTATTCCAAGTCTTCGTTTCCTCAGATTATTTTTCTGCTTCTAACATTTTCTTTTTCATTCTCAGCAGATCTTCAGAGGCTAAAATCATACGTTGAGATTCACAGCTAACACTTCAAGGATGTTTCTAGCAAACCCAAATATTTATGCAGCAATTCTATTCCTTGTAACTCAACAAATATGACTAGTGCTCTCTCCTAGCAAGATGCTAGACCAGGCTGGAAAGCAGCCATGGACCAGCGCAGGGCCGAGGCAAACTGGAGGACAGAAGGTTAGCGCGCTCCCTGCTGAAGCGTGGGGAAGACAGGGAGGAAGGACAGCTTCAGCGGTTGAACTGACAGTGCTGGATGAACCGACAGTGCTGGATGAACTGGCAGTGCTGGATGAACTGGCAGTGCTGGAGCTCACAGGGTGACTGGGAGAAGCTCACCTGAAAACGTAGCTTCAGATCTAGAAAGGGCGGAGGGCATGGTGGCTCCCCTGGCCTACTAATCAAACAGATTTGTCCACTCTGCCATAGAGCCTGCTGGGCAAGCAGCCTCTCCCCTGATAAAGGAGGGATGGCAGAAGGGTGGGGCTGGAAGCAGACCCAGAGCGGGACTCCTGAAAGAAAAATACAAAAACACCCTGGAGGCCTTTTGAACTCTTCCTGCAAAATTTGTCCTTCTGCATGTAGAGAGCATCCTCCAGGAGGCATCTTCCGTGATCAACCAGCACGTGTGTGGAGGCACAGGTCAGAAGGACACTGACGTGGTAGAGCAGGGCCCAGCGCCCTGACCAGGGCAAGCCCCAGACATGGAAGAGGCTGGAGCATCCAGGGAGAGGGCCTCCGTGACACAGGGAGACCCACACAACCATTTCTGAGAGCTGAGAAACGTTGCCTAAGACCATCCTTCCTGCTTCCTTTCTCTTTCATCATCCACCATGTCCTAAGCACTTGGTGATCCCCTCTTTGCACTGAGTTACTTCAGACAACAAAACCTAAGTGATTTCCTGGGCTCAGCGCCAGCAGGGCCATGAAAACAACTATGCCTCAAGCCCCTCAAACATGGCTCTGCTTTGCTGCTTTTTTTTTCCCCTGAGGGACTCAACTGTGATGAGAGATTATCGTTGCTTGAAGAACACCTTTCAATACCTAAAGGAGGTTGGATGCATGAGAAGGCTTGTTTCATTGGCCTCTGAGAGTCCTGGCACTCCTGTGAGAACGTGGAGAAACAGAATAGCTCCCACGTGGTGCCACTCTGAGCCTGAGCTGTCCCAGGCTTCGACTGCCTTCATTTGCGCCCTTAGGAGCTAACAAGTCAAAGGACCAATCTCCCGTCTGGGGAAAGGCCATTCGGTGTGAGACAGTCATGGGAAGATGGTAGTTTGTAAAGGCGGAGAAAGCAGCCCCAGTAGCCACCTGTAGCCTCAGCCAAACAGCAGGTGCATGGGGCAAGAATGAAGCCACTGGGTTCCTCCAGCCCCAGCAGAGCCTCCAAGACCATGTGGAGCCCAGCACCAGCCGCAGGCTCCCCAGATCATAGATGGTGAGCCACCATGTAACTATTCTGCTTGAGCTACCAAGTCTAGAGGTAGCTGGTACACAGCAATAGAGAGTACATCATGCATCAGCAAAGGAAAGAGAAAGTTATTAGTCAATAAAGAAATGAATCTCAGTGACCTTAAAAATATGTGAAGCTGGGCACTGGTGGCTCACATCTGTAATCCTAGCTCCTCAGGCAGCTGAGATCTGAGGACCACAGTTTGTAGCCAACCTGGACAGGAAAATCTATGAGATTTCCAATTAATCAGCAAAAAGCCAGAAGTGAAAGTGTAGCTCAAGTGGTAGAGAGCCAGCCTTGAGCCAAAAAGCTAAGCAAGAGCATGAAGCCCTAAAGAAAAAAAAGGAAAAATAAAAGATCTGAGTCCAGAAAACAAGGAAATAGGTAGTTGTGAAAAGTAAATATAAGCACACTTACCATAAAAATACCAGCTCTTAGGGCTGGGAAGGTGGCTCAGTGGTAGAGCGCTTGCCTTGCATGCATGAGGCCCTGGGTTCAATTCCTCAGCATCACATAAGCAAAAAGAAAAAACTGGAAGTGGTGCTGTGGCTCAAGTGGTAGAGCGCTAGCCTTGAGCTAAAGAGCTAAGGGACAGCGCCCAGGCCCAGAGTTCAGGCCCCACAACCGGACCTCCCCCCCCCCAAAAAAAAATACAAGCTCTTAGACCAGGACAAATATTCTGAAAAACTTTATGGGCTAAAGAAAAGAATTCTTAAAACTAAAATGCCAGCTGGGCATAAACTACTCAGGAGCAGGTGGGTTTTATAGGTACATGAGTTTAGATCTATGCTATGGTTTGGGTTGGTTTTGTTCCCTAAATGTCCCTTGGCTATCTTCTTATACCTAATATCTGACTCACTGGCAAGTGTCTTGTAATTGTATTTCTGAGACCAGGTCTTATTAAGTTGCCCAGGATGGCACCAAACTCCTAGGCTCAAGTGATCCTCCCATCTTGGCTTCGGGAGGCACTGCGTGCCAGCTACACCAGCAAATGTTTAAATCTATCTTTAAACCATCTTGTGATCAAGCCCTTCTCACACTGCTCTGTGATCTCCCACCTCAATTACTGCAAGTGTTTCCTAATTAGTCCTCGCTGAGGCTTGCAGCCCTGCCTCCTGCGGCCTCAGCTCAGCCAGCAGCCACTGAGGCGAAGAAAGCACAGGCCAGACATGCCTCTCCTCAGTTTTCTGGATGACCCCAGGCCCATGTGGTGGCCCCTTGATCTCACCCCCTCCTCTCAACCTCGGCCCCTTCTGCAGCATGCCGGCTCACACCTGCCTCAAGTTTGGTTTTGTTTTTATGCCGGTCCTGGGGCTTGAACTCAGGACCTGGGCGCTGTCCTAGAGCCCCTCTGGGCTCAAGGCTAGCACTCTACCACTTGACCACAGCACCACTTCTGGCTTTTTCTGAGTGGTTTATTGGAGATTGGAGAGTCTCACAGACTTTCCTGGCCAAGCTGGCTTTGTGATCCTCAGATGTCAGCCTCCTGAGTAGCTAGGAATACGGGTGTGAGCCACCTGTACACAGCTCTACCTCAGGTTTTCCACTTGGCATTGTTCTGCCTGGAGAGCTCCCCACCGCCGCCCCCAACATCCCTCACCTGTCCTCTCTTCCTTCAAAAGTCTTTATTAGTTTCTTTCTCAGTGAAGACTTCCTCTTCTCCAGCCCAGACCCCTACCTTTTCCTATGCTTTATCTCCTTGGATTTATTACCATTGCACATGCCATATATTTTTACTTATGTGTACTTTGTACAATTTGTCTTCCCCAGCATGTCTGTCCCCAATGCCAAATCTCATCTGGCACATTGTGGGGGCTCAGAAGCACACATAATGGAGTGGATGGATTGCACAATATGGGCACCTGTTACCACAGGAATGTGGAGAGAACAGTAAGGACACCTCTCAGAGGAGGCCAGAAAAAGGATAGGATGATGGAATTTGTCAAAACAGGGAGAAGAGCAAAGCACGCATGCAGAAAAGGTCAGGTCATAGTCAAGGGGCAGAAAGTAGACCTGACGAAAGGGTTTATGCTGAGAAGAGAGAAGAAGGAAGGAAGGGAGGAAGGGAAGAAGAGAGGAAGGAAGGAAGGGAGGAAGGGAGGGAGGGAGGGAAGGAGGAGGGGAGGGAGGAAGGAAGGGAGGGTGGGCAGGAGAGAGGGAGGAAAGAAGGGGCAGACAGGAAGACACAGTCAAGCTGGTTAGGCCAATTATGAAAGGCAACAATGTTTAAGACTTTGACCTTCATCCTCCAGGCAGGAGAGATCCATTGAGGATCATCTAATTAAAAGATTAAAAAGAAAATCATCCAAGTACCAGTGGCTCATACCTAGCTACTCAGGAGTCTGCGATCTGAGGATCAAGGCTTGAATCCAACCTGGGCAGGGAAGTCCATAAGACTCTTACCTCTAATTAACAACAACAACCAAAAAAAAACCCAAAGTAGAAGTGTGACTCAGATGGTAGCGTACCATCCTTAAGCTGAAAAATGCTAAGGGACAGCACCTAGGCCCTGAGTTCATACCTCAGGATTAGCATGTTTTCTCTCTCCTCTCTCTCTCTCTCTCTCTCTCTCTCTCTCTCTCTCTCTCACACACACACACACACACACACACACACACACACATACATACAAACTTACCAGATAGAATGAAGGCATAGAAGACACAGGAAGAGGAGCAAGGCCAACTTGTGGGTCTGGAAAGCTTCAAAGAAGCACCAGGAAGGAGTCTGTGTCCTGATGGAGTGAACTGCTCAGTCTCTTAAGGACTTTAGAAAAGGAAAATTCACAAAACTAGATGATTAGCTCCTTGATGCAATGGAGGCAAGCCTCTGGTGAACACATATGAGCCATGCAAGATACACTGGTGACAGATAGGCACAGAAAGTGACAAGCCAGGAAGAGGGTTCTCCTTCACAGCCCGATGTCAGATGGTCTAGATAATCACTTGGTTAAAGACAGACATTTGCTCCTTTGGATGATAACTAGAGAAAGTGATGCAAAGAAGCAAAGCAGGTGAAAGCTGATATAGTCTGCTTCTGCCACCTAGCGTCAGACTTGGGCTGAGTAGTTCTCCAAGGGAGCTTTGGGCATTCACCATTGCCTGGGAGCTGCAGGCAGCCCTGCTGGCCCTACTGGCCCTGCAATGCCAGGCTATCCTCCATTCTCTGGCAGCCAGGGGTGCAGACAGAAAGTAAATGATGCAGAGACAAATGCCAGGCTGAGGCCGGTGCACGTTGCTGCTGTTTCTCTCTGCCTACCCAGCCATTAAACAAAAAGCAAAGGTTCAAGAAAGGAATACCTCTGGTGGCCTTCTTCCCATAACCAAGAACAACTTACAAGAGAAGGAAGTAGAGAAGAAAATGACACCTCTCACTAGAGAAACACTTAAAATGTCCTTGTCCATGCCTTGAGATTGAAGCTACCTTTGCAGACATGACATGGTTAAAATAATATTTTTGGGGTAGTCAAGTCAGGAATTATTCTCACATAGTAGCTATAATTTTAGCAATTTTTCTGATGGCTTAGGTATAAAGAAATGTTTCTGAAATATCAGGGATATTATCATTCAGGCAACAGCTAAAGTACATGTGTGTGCATATGTATGTGTGGGCATGTTTGTGGTGTGTGTGCGTGTGTGTGGTGTATATATGTGTGCATGGTGTGTGTGTCCATGGGTATGTGTCGTGTACGTATTGTGTGGTGTGTGCATGTGTGTATTCTGTAGTGTATGTGCATGTGTATGGCATGTGTGGTATATGTGTGTGGGGTGTGGGGGGTGTATGGTATGTGTGGTGTACTGTGTGGTGTTTATTGGTGGGTGTGGGTATGTGTGCATGTGCATGTGTGTACATATGAAGAAAATTAAAGAAAGTTGACCAGGGACACTGATGCACTGGCCAGGCGGATCACATGGGTCCTATCCCACTTCCCACATCAGTGCAAGCGGTGATGGGATGTTCTGTGTTCTGACTACTGCCCATCTGCTGGTGATGAAGCTTCACATCACTCGGCGGGAGCCAGGATCGGTACACAGGCAAACTTCCTCAAGATGATTTCACACAACTGAATAGGGATCTACAATCACCACAAGGCAATGTATTTACGTTAAGACCAAATCTCTATCTTCTTTCTGGTATTTCTGAATCACCAAAATAGAGCCATTTTGCAAGTGCTAAAGCTGCCAGAGAAAGAGTCAGTCAGTGCTGATATGCGGACTAAGAGTAGTGACCTCTTGGTCTCTTCTAATGACGCTTTTACACATTGCCCAACCCCTTGCCAGCTGGCACTGCCAAGGAGCTGGAGATAGAGGTCTATGCATTTGTAGTGAGCTTTCCTGCTTCAGGGACTTTGGATACTGGTGAGGAGACAGAACAGAAGCCAGCAAACAAGCTCCAGAGAGCTCAGATGAGGTTTTAAGCAGATGGAGCCACCTGGTGGGGGTAAGGAGAATGGCAGTGCTGAGCAGCCCTTTGAGGAGGGGAGGATTCGTCTGAAACTTGCATGCTGGAAAGGAACCAGCCAAATAAAACCCTAGGAAATGCACTCAAAAGAAAGCTATGAGTGCGCTCCTGACCTAGGAGCCACCCTGGCCTGCACCCGGCTAAGTGGCCAGTTTGGCCAGGGAGAGTTGACATAGGACAGTGATATGAGGAAAGATCAGAGCCATTGGCCAGGCAGATACATGGGTCCAGACCCACCCCCACGAACAAAACAACCTAATGGGAACCCTCATTTAATTTCAGGAAAGAAGCTTTCATTTCTGTCACTACATTTCAGATTTTTTTTAAATGTACCACTAGCCAGGTGCTGGTGGCCTATGCCTGTCATCCTAGCTGATCAGGAGGCCGAGATCTGAGGACCGCAGTTCAAAGCCAGCCTAGGCAGGACAGTCTGTGAGACTCTTATCTATGATTAATCATCAAAAAAGCCAGACAAATGAAAGACAGAGCTGTGGCTCAGGTGCTAGAATACTAGCCTTGAGCAAAAGAAGCTCAAGAACAGCACCCAGGTTTTATTTCAAGCCCCAGGACTGACATTAAAAAAAAAATACCATTAGGCTCTTTCAGAAGTCACAGATACTCTCAAAGGTATGAGAGGTTTCATTTCAAAGTTACTGCTAATGCTTACTTTCTAAAAATTATGACCCATAAAAAACATAACACATTCTTTTCTTTCATTTCAAAATGAGCCCAGCTTTTTAGAGACAACAGGAATTGTTCTAGATCACCAGGAAGTTGAAGCAAAACAGTAAGCAATTCAACTTGCACCTACGTATAAATGATACCGTAAGTGTGCATTTTGGGGTCTTCCTCTTCTATGGAGAACCTGAGCCACTGATCCTGGGGTCCTTGCCGCGTCATTGTTTTTTCCAGATCCCAGTACAATTCGATGCTGTGATGTGTCACTTTGCCCACGACTGGTGGATGAGGCTTGAAGGATGGTATGATTTCTAAAAAGAGAATGACACGGGAGTTTAGGATCCCAGGCCAATAAGGACTTGGGGCCGGCTGAGCAGATTCTGACTGTGCAGTGATCTGATTGCTACCCACACATCTGGCACACAGACAGGGCTGAAGGGATGTAAGCCTCAGCCAGCACAGGGAGCCCCACACTCTTGCAACAAGGGGACCGCGACACCACCATGCCACTGGGGTCATCTCCACTCCCAGGCTCTCCAGATGGCAATTAACATAGTCACCAACTAACTTGATCTTTCAATGGCTGAAACTCAGTTTGCTGTGCTAATCCTTCAGCGATCTGACTCGGGTATGGCCAAGAGACAAACGCTGTATCTGGTCCAAATCTTTACAACACAGATGACAAAGGGTTGACATTTTATCTATATAAACAGCTTTTACAAACTAACCAAGAAAAAAAAGCAATGTCTAACCAAGACAAACAAAAAACAAACTCTAATCCCAATCAAGATGAGCAGTGCACAGAACAGCAAAGCAAACAGTCCATGTGATACAGGAAAAGACCCCCAGGTTCCCCAGGGTTTCCAGAAACTGGAAGCAATGAGCTGTAATTGTTCATCTAGTCAGATGCCTAAAAGGGATATCATCATGACTGGAAGTGAGAGTATTGAAGAACATACTCTCATTCACTGGCTGTGGAAATACACATCATAGCCTTTGTTCTACATTTTGATTAGCATCAGGTAGTTGCTCAACAGGTTTTCATTAGGCTTGTCCATGTATGCATACAATCTGGTCAGAATCATCCCCTCCAACACTCTCTCTCCTCTTTCCCTCTCTTCCTCCCTTCCTCCTTCCAAACTCAACTAAACTCAACCTCAATCTTCCTTGTTTACAATGTCCCAAAGCACACTGATCATGTCCATCTCCCTTCACACGCTCAGTTCACCCTCACCCCTCCTACTAGTATCCACACCCTACACTGTTTTACACTCTTGTCATTCATTTTTTTTAATTGTAGCTTTTTTAGAAAGCTAAAAAGGAAGCATATATCCAGCACTAGTTGCTCATGCTTGTAATTATAGCTACTTTAGAAGCTGAGCTCTGAAAACTGAAGTTCAGAGCCAGTCAGGGCATATAAAATCGAGAGACTCTTATCTCCAATTAACCAGCCAAAGGCCAGATGTGGAAGTATGGCTCAAGTGGTAGAGCACCAATCTTTGGCAAAAAAAAAAGCAAGAAAAAGTTCATGCCTTTTGAAATTGAGTTCAAATATTTGTATGAGCACATGTATGTGCCCACACATGTGCTCACACACATACATACATACATACACAGAGGCAGCATCAATTAAGAGTAATCTTTACACACTATTTTTTTTGTGCTTACGCGGTGCTGACGAATCGAACCCAGGGCCTCAGGCATACAAAGCAAGCGCTCTACCACTGAGCCACCTTCCCAGCCCCATACACTCTCTTTAATCCTGCATTCCTACCTCTTTGAAGCATTTACACAGAGCCTTAACAAACACTGAGACACACATACAAGAACATTAACTACTAGAGTCTTCAGCCATTTAGAAACCCGGCACATAAATTACAGTATATCCAAAGCATGTAGTAATAGTCTTTAAAAGGGAATTGGATAGATGCTTTGAGAGGCTTTTCCTGAAGTACTTTTTGACAAGAAACTAACCATAAAGAAAACTATACATTGCCCATTTCTGTAAATGATACGGTGTCTAGACAGGGCATGCCAGGTTGGTGCCCTTGAGGGCCTCTGGTCTCTATTGTTTTTATCTTCCTGCTATGTTTGAGTTTCTTAAATTTTTAAGTTTCTATGCCCATGTCTTCCACTCTTTTTGAAACCTCTCCCTGCATCTCAGTGCATTTTAGACCTCAGATATATCATTGATTTACCACATTGGCTATTCAAAAAGGATTCTGTACTTCTCTTGAGACAAGATTCCACGTAGCTGGCCACTGGCTCTCTGAAGACCATGGGGGCTCCTGCCATGTGGCCCCACTGAGAAAGTCTGGGTAGCCCTGGCCCTGCCTGTCCTTAGCCAGCAGGGCACACAGCCAATTATTTCCTTTTCAGTGAGATCCAGAGATAAGCCAGAGAGACAGACTGTAAATTCATGTTTCCCTAACTTTATTTTCCAAACACTTACAGGAAGCATGGTAGAACTGGATAGACCTGGGATTGAATATATTGCTTTGAAATAAAGTCAAAGATATGTATCTCAAAGTGCTTATGTTATTTAAATCACATGTAAAAGGTATATAAATTGTAGTATCTTTCAGGCTGTGAAACCCCATATAGTAGCTAAACAAAACTAATCCTATATAAGTATGGACATAGATAAATCTCAAATGGGGGGAAAAGAATCTACAAAAAAGATACACTATAGTTACTGCACTGTTGATATAGCAACACTGTTTATGAACACATAACACATAGTTAAGGTTGATGTTGCTGGCCCCTCCCTTGCTGGGGGCGGGGGTGGGGGGAACATATGCAGGCAGGCAGGATATCTCATCACTCTGGCTGTAAGGTTTTGGCGGGGGTGGGGGTGGGGTGGGGTTGTTTGTTTAAGAGTGAGAAATATGGGAGGTTTAAATTAGGGCTTCCCATTTGTTCTACTGCTTGAGCCACACTCCAGGCCTATTAACTTTAGATATTTTTAAGATAGAGCCTTGGTTTTTGCTCAAGTCAGCCCGAACTATGGTCCCCCTATTTATACTTCCCGCATAGCTGGGAGAACATGTGTGTGCCATCATGTCTAGCCTTTTCTGTTGAGAGAGGATCTCATGAACTCTTTGCTAGGATGGCTGTAATCTTGATCTCCCAATCGGAGATCTCCCTACCTGCCTTCAGATAGGATGACAGACATCCACCACTGTTACCTAGTTAAGGTGTTTTTTTTTTTTAATAAAGTGAACTTTAGACACATGTAATGAAATGTTCTGACCTATATGGCATAATTGGATTCATATTAATTGTCTGTCATTTTGGTAGGCTTGAAATACTAGCTCCTGAAACTAATTATAAAAATTAATGATACCTATTGCTCTTGTGGGGCTCCTGGTTTTCTTGGCAAGAATGAGTGATCTCATCCTGGCATCCTGGCTGGCATATGCAGTGACTCATACGGTCACATCAAGACATCCTGGCTGCACAGGTCTGGAAGACTAACAGAACACCCCACCAGAGCTCACATTTCAATTCCAAGACAACTAGCCTAAAGTCCCATCAGAACTCATGACAGTCCAGGACTTCTAAGTGAATGTCAGGGCTCAAAGGGACAAACGAGAGTGTTCACTGTGAGTTTGTAAGAGGAGGTAGAGAATGTTAGTAATCCTGGAAACTCAAGAGTTTCTCGTGCCTTCATCCTCACTAGTCCCTGTACAGACCTGAGAGCTCTCCCTCAGCTTGGCATCAAGCAGCAATGGTCATGCCCCAGCCATGTGCCACTTCTAGCTGCGGGCTCATGACAGAGTTGGGATTTTACTGCTGTCTTCACCCCTCCAGATCTGGTATAGATACCAGCCAAGGTGGAAGTCTGGAAAGTTCCGTTATTACTAGCCACCAAAGTTATTGGTACCGTGGCTTCTTGCATCCCACCCCAGCTGTGGGCCAACTGACTGTCAAATTCTTCTAGGAGCATGACACGGTGCACAGAGCACTGTCATGTCTCACCTTGATGCAAAGTTTAGCAAGATGCAAACGCTCACTTAGGTAAGAATTGCTCTTTGGCAGAAAGCTGTTGATGCCAGACAGGCTCTGGATGGTCAAACATTCTTAGCAGGTAAGAGCAAGTTATTTTTAGGTTGGTAAAGGATAGTAAGTGAAATGAATTGGGTTTTTTTCCCTTTCTCACCAACCTAGAGCAATCTGATAGATGTGTTTAACCCTTACAGTATTAACCTGTATTATTTGTGTTTTCTCTTTGGTAAAAATTCTGTTACTTGGATCTGAATTCAAGGGCTTGTTGGGCAGGTACTACAGTACTAGTCACACTGCCCAGCCCTGCTGTTCTCATTGTAATCTGCTAACATATAAATTTTATGATGCTTATTTAGGACCCTAAAACATACACCTTAAAGGTCACTGGCAAACATCATAGTGACAGGGAACAGCCTGAGCTTGGGAGCTGGCAGAAGCAGCAAACCACAGCCTGCTTGCTGGAGGAGGACAAGAGCAGCAGACACGGCAGTTTGTGCCAAGTACTGCTGTAACTGCCTTCCTCATTCAGCTAACCTTCGCCACATCTAATGTCAGCCATCTGCGGTGTAAGGGTTTGCATTATCTCAACTGTTAACAACAGAGTCATAGAGAGGTTAAGTAACTTGCACAAGGTCACACAGAATTGACTGGCAGAACCAGTATTCAAACACAGATGGACTGGCTGAGAAATTCCTAACTCTATACTCTTCTGCCTCTTAATAACACATATATAAGACATAGATCTGGGATGGAAAAAAAAAATCTACTCTTAGAGGCTCCTGCTCCAGATTTCCTCACACCATTTAGTCTTAACCTGTGAACTAACTTGACCTTGAACCCTCAATAAAGTGTTTAAATATTAAGAGCAGACAGAGAATGGTTTGAATGACATTCAGGGACAGTAGATGTGGGAGGGGGCAGTGCAGGCAGTGCGGGCAGCCTCCGCAGAGCTGGTCTGCAGGGACACAGGCCGGCAAAAGGAAGCTAGTATAAGAAGCCCATAGCAGCCGGCGTGGAGGCTGAGATGGCAGACACTGAGTGCGATAGGCCAGCAGGAGCCTGCAGAGGCTGTGTGAGATACAGCGAGCAAGGCTGGGGGTGGGCGAGGGCCAGGTGGTAGGAGGGACTGCCTGTAGGTCCCTCTGGTGGAAGGACTGTTATTAGGGCAGAGAATGCGCCATGTGCTGGGGACTTCTGAATCCATCTGACTGCCAGGATTCCAGAGAATGCCATTATCTCCACGCCTTACAGCGGTTACTGTTGCAAAGAGAGGCTCTGTCTAGCCGTGACCTCAGCCCTGGCCACCTGAGTGACACATCCTTCCTTAGGTGACAAAAGTCAACATTTTAAAAACCTCAAAAGCTAGTTATTCAGTAAACCACAATGTTGGCAGTCAGACTTGCATGTGTTTTCCCACATTCTGCATGATTTTTATAAGATGTATTAACACATTCATAAACACGATTTTCATGTTTTATTTGTGTATACAAAACTTTTTAAACTCTTTTTCTCCCTGAGCATTAGTATCAGGTCTTTTTCTTATTTATGATTGGTAGCCAGACTTAGTCACATAAATTTATTTACAAAACCAGGTGTAAATATTTTTCTAACTATTAAAAAGAAAAAAAAAGCTACTTGGAAGGCTAAGATTGAAAGGGGATGGAGAGAATCATGATTTGAGGCCAAGCATGTGCAAAAAAGCTAGCAAGATCCTCATTTCAACCCATCAGCTGGGTGTGGTAGCATGTGCCTGCCATCATAGCTATATGAGAAGTGGAAGTGGATGGATGCTGTCTTAGACTAGCCTTGGGCAAAAATGTGAACCCTTATCTGAAAAGTAACTAAGGCAAGGGCTGGGGCATGACTCAGATTAAAGATCCTGAGTTCAAACCTCAGGACCATCAAAAAGATAGATAGATGGATGGGTGCATAGATAGATAGATAGATAGATAGATAGATAGATAGATAGATAGATAGATAGATAGATGGATAGATGGATAGATGGATGGATGGATGGATGGATGGATGGATGGATGGATGGATGGATGGATGGATGGATGGATGGACGAAGAGAGAAAAATAAGACCTTAGAATCTGTTTTTCATGATTCCTTTAAACAATTGATAGGAATCTTCTAACTTGTCTTGTCTTACAAGTTTCTACCCTGAAAGAAAAAAGGAAAAAACAAAAGGACAACAAAGTGAGAGTTGTATGAGAACTGATAGGCATGCTATACTGATAAGCTTTTTTAAAGGCTGTTATTATATGAATCTGAGACCAGAACACTGTGCTGCTGTGCCATCTGCCCAGCCATGCTGGTGACAGAGCAGCAGCAGGGCTCTGTGTGCAGTCACTGTCCAGCCTCCAGGTCACTCTGAAGAGGAATCATCACAGCTCTCAACAAGAGATGCACACCAGGTTATAGGCTTGAGTGCAGACCACTGCAAAGCTTGAGTAAGCCATTTCACTGCATTCGTGTCCTCGAGTTCTGAAAGGACTGTAGTGAATGATTAACGCAAATACACAGAATATTATGACAGCCTTCCCATCCTTTCTCTCTTCATTTGTCTACCTTCCCTTGACTTCACCCCTCCCCCAGCACCTCAAGTTCGATTCCTGATATTTTGTGAGTTGTTCAGGGGAGTTACACCATTGCAAATTTCACCTGCATATACCCTTAGTTCATATGCATACAACTTTGTGTATGTTTACATATATATTCATAAATTAGATATAACTTCCATATATGAGAGAAAACATATATCCTTTGTATCTCTGAGCTTGACTTACTTAATTTCTTCCAAGTCCCATCCATCTCTCTGCAAATGACATAATGTCATTCTTTCTAGTGAATGAGTAAAATTCCATTGTTTATATACACCACATTTTCTTGATCCATTCATCCATTGAAGGGCATCTGGGCTGTTTCTATAATTAGGAAATAGTACGGCAATGAACATGATTGTGCAAGTGGCTTTACTGTATCCTGACTGGTAGTTTTTTGGATAAATGCCCAGGAGTGGTATTGCTGGGTCATAAGGTAGTTCTACAGTTAGTTTTTGTTGTTGTTGTTGTTTTTGAGGAATCTCCATACTGCTTTCCTGAGTGGTCACACCAGTTTATATTCCTACCAATGGTATATTAGGTTTCCTTTTCCCTCACATTCACTCCAGCATCTGCTGTGGTTGTTTGTATTTTTGATAATGGCCCCATTCTAACTGAGATGAGATGGAATATCAGTCTTGTTTTGATTTGCATTTCCTTTATGCCTTGAGATGTTGAGCATT